ATTCCCCAAAACCTCAGTAAAATGGCTGAGCATATTAAAATTCAGTACTGCAGGCTAAACAAAAATGAGGGTTCTGGGACCTGCTGGCTTAGACCTGCTCTCCATTTTACCTTTTCCAGAACTCCTGGAGACAGGCTCAAGGAAGACCCCTTAGTTCTTCAGAATGGAATTTGAAAACCATTGCCAACAGCGTTTCAAGGAAACTGAGTTCCTCCAACATTATACTTAGGAGACCAATGTACCAAACTTAATCAAATGAATCAGAGCTGTAACTGGCTTAGAAAATTTGACTAGTATCCTTGGATGCTGTTCTTAGCAGATCCAAACCCCCTAGAGGTGATAGTCCATCCTTAGGAGCTGCTTGCTTGGGCTGAGCACTTGCACCCTTCTGCTCAAAGTGAACTCTGCCAGACACTAGTACTGGTACAAGGAAGACATGTTGACTTCCATTTATTCATTCACTGATGGGGGCAGTCACTGGGACAGAGACTGTACTGCTTATGGGAAACCCATGTTCAAGTTTCTGGGCATTCACAGCCTCCCTGGCCCATAAGTGAGGGCTCCTGACTGAATTCTAGCTGACAGAATATAAGTGGAAGCAACATACACCACTTCAGATCTGGTCCATTAACATTTCTTGAATGTGCTCTTCCACGTTCACTTCCTATTCTAGATGGCAACAATGGAGAGGACATCCAAGGAGCCTAGAGGCCATGTACTGGAGATTCCAGGGGCTCCACCCACCTGGGTTGCCAACTACTATTCCTGTTCACCTGTTCAGCCTCCCAAGAATATTATCCAGGTTGAAGTAAATTGCTATTGTACTTGAGCAATTGTATTTCGGTTCCCTTCTTTACAGTGGTTATTCTCTCTCAACTAATACACTAGCCAAGAAATATTAAACACCAAGTAAGTGATGAGATAGGCACATGCTTACATTAAAGCAGTTTTGCAGTGAGAACTATAGTTAGTTGTAACCCATTGCAGATTTTCAGAAAGGTTAAAGAGAACACCACACACTGGGCCCATCTGGCTTGCTGGCCTCCTTGATCTTGGCATTTCCCTCACAGGGCTTCCTTTCGGTTCTTAGAGCGCCACATTATCTCCCGGCACTGACCTTCTCATGGGTTTCCTTTCCAAGGAATGTTGTACACTTCTCTTCATCATGCATTTTTCAATTGAAATTGTACTTTTTTAAAGAAAGCCTTCATGGCCTTGCCTCACGACTTTCTCAACTAAGGCTAGATCACAGGTTCCTTTAGGGCAGGGCTTCTTTTCATTTTCATCATCACTATATGGTTGATTGCTTAATGATTTATTGCAATCAAATAAACTCAACAAAAATTTGTTGAATGAATAGATATGAATGGAACCCACCTTGAGTCAAATCTTCATGGACTTTCCTTAGTTATTCTCTTACTATCTTTATCATCAAACTCATGAAGAAATCAAATGCAGTCATACATTGTTTAAATTTGGGGTATGTTCTGAGAGATGCATTGTTAGATGCTTTGTCTTCATGCAAACATCACAGGGTGCACTTGCAGAAAGCTAGGTGTTGTCTGCACTCCTGGGTGGTGTGGTATGCTCTGTCATCTATGTGCCCCACTGTGGGACGGAATATTGTTACATGGAATATGATTGTATCTCAGAACTTGGAGAAAGGTAATGCACAACCAGAAGATGATGATTTGGGGTGCCTATGATGGAGGGCTTTTTCCTACCTGTTCAGTTCATTGGGAGAGGCCTTATCAACTTAGACCTGTTAATTAGAGAATTTGCAGTGCTGTGGATTAAAAAGTAATCACAGTCTTGGGATAGTAAAATTGTGGAAGAAGCATAAAAAGAGAAAAAGGTCAGACTCTTGTGGTGTAAAGTTAAGGAATGTTCGAGAATCTGTGTCATTCAACTTTGTACCTTAGTGCTTGTCAATATTATACACAGTGGTTATGAAGAAAAGGAACACATAGACCTTGCTATAGTAATGATCTAAATCTCAGTGTTTCCTGATTTTTTTTTTTTTTTTGATCTGGAGGCCAGTTTGGGCGGCTCTGTTTTGAGAGTTGGGCACAAGCCTACTCCACCTGTTTCTCATTTGAGGACAAGGTTGAAAGAGCAGTGTCTGCCTGAAGAGAGCCTTTCCTTTTACTTACAATGGGCTCTGCTCTGTCCCATCCACTAACTTCCCTGGATACACAACATCTGGCTGAGCGCAAGTCAATGGGGCAGGTGTGGATTTGCTGCCCACTCTACTGAAGTACCACAAAACAACACAGGTAGCAGGTATGGAGTAAAGCATTCAGAATAAAATCCTGCCACTTCCAAGTCAGCAAAACAGGATAATGAGGATAGAGGAATTCCAAGAAGGAAACTTTTAGTAGCAAATACAGAGAAGTCAAAGACTTTATTGAGAAAAGGCTGTTGGAACTGGCCAGTGGTTGGAAAGTACGTACCAGAGCATTTCAACAAAGCAGCAGGACACAAACCAGATGGCAAAAGGATTAGAGCTGTCAGAGAGGGCAGATAAAAATAGCGGTTGCCTGGTTCAATTTTGATTTTAGATAAACAAGTAACTTAACATTATGTTTAACTTTATTAATTTTGTATTTGAAATTCAAATTTACTTTGACACCCTGTATTTGAAATGGCAGTTCTAAATCGGAATACCAGATAGGCGGTCGGTGAAGTATTGGTTACAGGGTTAAAAAAAAACAAAACACTTTTGAAAAGTTTAGCAATGGGGAAGGAAAGGAATGAACTGGAAGCTCTGCATAATTGGAAGACTTCTATTAGCAGTGAAGACCTAACTCACAGTGCCAAAGACCTTCAGCCATGGCGCACAGCCATGGTATTTGGCTGGGAGGTGACAGTTCCTGCACTGGGAGTTCAGGAAGTTAGAGAAAAAGTTGGCTATCATTAGACAGTGACAACAGAGCAGCTCTTTATGGTGATTACACAGCCCAAACAGAGAAAACTAAGACTTTGAGTCTTAGATATGAATTTATAGTAACCTCCCAAAGCTCAACTCATAAAAATGCCTCTGTGATGCCCACAATGTCTCGTATGCTTGGCTTCATGTTAGATGTGAGTGTGTGTGTGTGTGGTCCCCGTGGAGAGGCCCTGGTGGAGAGGCCCTGGTGGCAGGACTGTGTAGGATGTGGGGCTGTGTGAGGGATGACTTGTTTGCTCTTCTGAGAAGGGACTCGGCACACAGATGGAGAGGCATGGAATTGATTTTGGAAGCAAATAATGCAGTGATCGTATAAAGTGCCACAAAGCTCTCTGAGTCTGATCACAAGCCTGCCACGCAGATCCATTTGAGAAGCAGAACTGAAGGCTGCTCCTGCACTGGGGCTAGGGACAGTCAGGCAAGGGCATTCAACAGGCAGTTCAAACTCCACAGCAAAAGAAAGCAAGAGACCTTGCTACAGGAAACTTTATTCCCTTTACTCGTATTGTCCCCAAGAGCTGCACACTATTCATGAACTCTGGAAATACAAATGATGAATGCAATCAGAGGAGGAAGAGGAAACAGAAGGGATGAAGGACATGAAGAAGCCCCCTGCCACCTCCCCATGCCCATGGGAATAGCAGTCACTGGACCACAGCGAAGACCACGTTGGCTGGGAGTGGCCAGGAGGGGGCAGACCAGGTTGGGCTCCGGTCTTTCCTTTGTGTCATTCTCCTTCCCCAGGATCTGGCACATAGTCACTGCACGGCTGCTGGGAACAGTGTTGGGCAGAGCCGGTGCTGGAACTGGGCAGACCTCTGTCCCGGTCCCAGCTCTGTGACAGGTGAGCAGTGTGACTCTGGACTTCTGGCTTAGTGTCTCTGATAAGCCGCAGATCCACACGTGTAATGCAGGGATCATAGCATTAAATATCTTCTAGCACTTCTGTAAGAATTACACATAATCCCATAGCTTTCTACATATAAGTCAAACATATATTATCTTATTTCTTCATATAATGATATCTGACAGGGAATTTAAGACAGGGTCATTTTTAAAAACTTTTATACTTCACGTACCTAATGTAATATCTAATTCTTAAACCTTTAATAATGTTGGCTAAGTATATTCAAGTCATAGATCTCAGGCTGGGACTTCAAGAAATAAGTTGTAGAGTCAGCAAGAAATCATAAAGACAGCAATACGCTTTTCCCTCCATCACTGTAGACTGTGAAAGCCCAACACGGTGTGGTGTGCTCTGAAATGAGGAGAGATTATGGCTTTCTTGTCTCTGTTTAGACAGAGAATTCTACAGGTGCTTCCAGTTACCTTGCATTTCAAAGGCACAGTCACCCTCAGCCCCTGCCCAGTTATATGCTATCTTAATGCACACATATTAGATTTGCTCTGACAGTTTGTTTTAAACTAAGTTGATTGGTTGTTTTTGCCTCTTATGGACCCAAGGCTACCAGACAATCTCATGTCTTGTAGACCAAACAACAGGGTGACTTCACAGGCTAAGAGTCTGTCCATTGCTTTAAAAACTATAAACGACTGATGGTGTCACGTCTGAACTTGCTTTATTGTCTCAAACTTGACTTATTTTGTTTTATGAAGTTAAAGTGTGATCTATAAAAAATAAAAGCTCTTAGAAAGTCAATACTCCATTTCAACAGTTATTTTACTATAATGCAATAAAAATTAATGCTTCCCATGCGTTTCATAAGACTATGAAATGTTTGGACACACTTTTAGAAAAGAAAAAGTCATGAAATTAAATTGAGAAAGGGAATTTCTTTTTTAACATAAGGACCATTAGAGACCTAACTACCCACATTTGAAGATATGTTTGCTCCTTAAGATGACTGAGAGTAATGCACCAGTGGCTTTTGTGGAGTTGGTCCATCCTCAGGCCATCCTCACACCTCAGGTCCATCCTCACTTAACTCTATAAATGAGTTAAAGGTATAGAAGGGAAAGACAAAAGAGGAAGCAGACACTGTAATGAGAGGCGCAGAACCGATATTTTGATATGTCACATAACTTGAGATGGTTTGGCAATTGGACAACAGAGTTGTCTCCTTTATTAGCACATTCAAACAGCATCAGAAAAACACCCTTCCATTTGATTCTTATTGAGATTTATTATTTTTAATAATGCCACTTTTCAGAAGTATAGTCATGTGCTCACTTAGACAGGCTGACAAAGTGAAAACTTGTATGTGATGCAGAAGGACCTTTCAGGCCATAGATTAAGACATAGATAGTGCAGTGACAAGTCAAGTTCAATGCCCACAGCAGACAGCACATCCCAACCTCCCCTTCCCACCACCAGGCTCCACATTACAACCAAAGAACCCACAATGGAAATCTGGCAAAACATAGAACACAGATGGCTATCAACTGACATGAAAAGTAAATTTTATTAAACATGTTTACATACATGAGTTGTAAGTTCATTTAAAAGCACAGGGGAGTGTTAAGACAAGTGGTCCAAATAGAAAGATACTACCCAATTATAACCAGTTGGTTGTTGGCCACTAAGACAGAACGGAATCTAGTAGAAGTGCACCTATGCTTCAGCTCTTCCTGCCCAGCATGGTGAGCAGTGCCAATCTGTGCCCTGTGGAATGATGGGCAGATAATTCTGGCATGTGTAAATAATAATAAATAATTCACTCGGTGCAGGCAGTATGTCTATGGGTTAAAACCTAGTGTGTACACAGTGTCTACATGTGTTACAGACCCACAGTAGGAATCTACACCAAAATATTTAGTAGAAGGAATTTGGTCCATTACTACATCACGTTTTCCAGAGGGTAAAAAATAAAGTCCATCTATAGACATTTCACCCCAGACCCACCGATAGTCTGGCTAAAACCTGAAAAATGTCTATAACAAAAATGGATGGCTTAGATTTCTTGGTTATTTCAGTAGAGTAATTAACAAGCAAACTGTACAAGTACATGCAACATACAAGCTGGCCTATGTGGAGCTAACATACATTAGTAAATAATGTGTTTTCTTTTTCTTTTTCTTTTTTTTTTATAAAACATGCATGCAGCTTTGAACAGTTCCAAGTCATGCTGCTCTATTTGTGTAATCACAAAAGTTGAGTGACTCATAAAAGGAGGGAGAACATATGGATGCACCCGCTGAGTGTGCAGTTTGTAGCACATATACAGAAGGTCACAAGAAAAACTCAAGGCCAAGAAAAACTCAAATGAAGAAAATGCAAACTGAAATTTGACTTTGTTGTATTTTCTTCCCCAAAAGTAAGATACTTTGCGTTAAAAAAATCAAGCTTTGTGCTTGCATTGACCTCAAAAGAATGTAAACTAAAATTTAATAAAAACATCAGTTTAGTGCAGAATATTTAAACTGGAATTTCCAGTGGAATACTGAACAGCCCACATCATGCTCTTTCCAGGGCAGATGGGAGCGTCTACACTGAGGTGTGGCTGAGACGCCGGGGGGTAGCTCAAAGTGTCTTAGGCTCAAATCCATTCCTAGTCACCATTTTGGGAGGTCAAAAGTATGGTTTGTACACATAAGCATATTCTGATATCAGGAAGAAAAAGGAATTTCAAGGAGTATTCCCCAAGTATGATTGTGTGTTTAGTATGTTTTTAGTCTCCAGCATTAGTTGCAGATTGACTTAACAGCTTTCCATGAAAAACAATGGAAAACATAAATTAATTTTCAGGAATGCAAACAAATAGGATCTTCACTTAAAAAGTGATTCTGTGGTTATCTATTTTGAATGATAACTTTTTGTCTTTTGGGTCTCCACATATAAGACTTTGAAGAGTCCTAGAGGGAAAACCAGTGAAACCCTGCACTGGTCTCACCTGGTCCAGCTGTTGGACACTGGGGAGATGTTCAGAGACTGCTTCAGCCCTTTTCTGTGCTTTTGGAAAAAGAAAGGAAGGGTCTCTGTTAGCATCTTAAAGCCTATTAGGGTATGGCCAAAATACAGGTGGAAGTAACAAACACAGTGAGAACAAAGCAAAACAAAAGCCCAAGGGAAAACCAAACAACGTACAAATAAACACACAAAAGAACAACAACAACAACAACAATGAAAACTTGCAGACACCAGGGAAATAACACTGCTTGTGGTCTGTGCAGAAATGTATAAAATACTTTTCACAGAGTGAGAGTTTCCAGTTGGTTCAATTGGGTGTGTGTGTGTGCGTGAACTTGAAGTCTCCCCTTTCTGTTTGTTCCAAGCATCAGTGACTCTCACTAGCACATTGATTTGCACTGTAATTTGATACATTGCCTTGTTCTGTCCTATGAAGCCATGTTTGAAACAACAATCAGGACATATTATTGAAAAACTACTACAGGCAAAACACAAGTTGATTGTCTGTCCCCAACAATGCTTTTGGTGAAATATCTGGTTCAGATTACTATCCTGAAAGGTAGAGTTTTGTTGGAATGACTCTGGCTTGAGTTCACTATGATCGAATGCAGGGAGGCCCAGTTGAACTTTCCAGAGATGATTGGGAAGCCCGGCGGGTTAGGGGAGTGACCGTGGGGTCCACCAGGGACGAAGGGGGGAACAATTTGTACCATCCAATCACCATGCTGGACAGATCGAGTTCTTCCAACAATATTTGAGCCACACCCATAAAGCATTTGTGGTCCATCCTGCCATAGTCTCCCCAGACAATCACCTGCAGAGACAGAAATGAACAGAACTTGGTCTCTCTCTCTCACATCTGAAGGGTTCTCTCTCTCTAACATCTGTTCTGTAGAAGTGAGCCAGTCAGTGAGGGAGAAAAAATGAGTACAACTAACACCGTGGAGGAAGCATAGGTAAGAAGACTTGATTACTCGTGGTGAGGTGCTCAGAGACACAAGTTTAAATTTGATGGGAGACAATAAAGTTTCCCTAGTAAATTTAGCACTTTTCTCTCGTAACTACTGTCTGATAAGCAATGTAAATAGCTGTCTGCCACAGATAATGAGGCATTTACTTCTTTTATACTATTTACTTCTTTTTGACCAGTTAGGGAGGGGAGTTAAAAAAATTGTGGCTGGTCCCTCTGGAGGGAGTGTCTGAGAAGGCTGATTGATCAGATGACTTGACAAGTCAGTGAGCTCACTGACAGTCACCACATCCTGGTCACCTCCTACTGGGGCTGGACAGTCCTTCCATCCCACGAACTCTCAGCTCTATTCTCTAATCCTGCAGTCATCACAAAGGTTCTCTACTGACTGTGATCACCTGCTTTACATAGGCAGGGTTTGTGAATCCTGCCTTTTCAATTTACTGAGGAACTTTGCCAAATAGCTCAATCTATGCAATCCTCAGACATAATCTTTAAAATGGGAATAGTGATATTTATTGCACTTGGTAGCTACAAACTCTGAAAGGGGTGATATATGCCTCTCTTTATGCCTGCATACTCTCTTTATTCCTCTCCCTGAATCCTGTTTATAGCTCATGTCTGGTATGGAGTACTGCTCAATCAAATATTATTAGCCTCATTTCGTCTTACAATCTTTCATTTATCTATCCACTGAAGAGAAGGCAAGGATGAGAAATAGGGTAAATGTAGAAGGAGATGGTGGAGAGAAGGAAGAAGAGAATGAGGGAAGAAAAGGAAAATGTTTTCCATTAGACCTAACAGATACTGTAAATACTATACATTATTGTAAATTAAAGACTGGTGGTTATTTTTTCTACTCAAGAATAAAATAATAAGTTCTTTACTGAATTTTGTTCTCTCCATGTTTTACCAGCCCTGCAGTGTTTATATGGATAGCATAGACATTACAATGTAAAAATTTAAACAATCTATTACTGACCTGGAGAACTTTACCCTGTGGGCTTTCGTCAAACACTAGGGACTGCTGGTACAAAGGGTCGAGGGTTTTCCGTGCAATTCTTGTCTTTTTCTTGGCTATGCAGGCTCCGTTTTCCAAAAGGTAGACTTTGACATATGGAGCTAAACAAAAGTATATTAACTTATGAGAGGCTGACCCCAAATTCACTTGACTTTCCTTAAAGAACACCTTATTAGAGAACTAGAGATATTACTGAGAGTTTCTGGCTATTTAAATCATTTTAAATTTCCATTGCTCTGTAAGTTCTCTTCCTTAAAGATGCCACTATTTCCACAACTGCCATTTTCCTGTCTTTAAGCTAATGCTTACAAAGTTATCTTAAGACTTTGACTTGCATTACAGTAGGTATTGCAATGCAGGTTTATATCTTAAAGCTCACTGTTTTCTTGTTATAATTAGAACTGAATTCTTTTGTTCATTTGCATTTGTAAATGTACAGAAATAAATGACACAAGCTAAGAAACCATTGCAGTGAAACTTTTAAAAATATGACAATAATCTTGCAAAGAATACCCAGATGCCTTTTTATAGAATCAAGATCACAGAAAAGCTGATATAAAACCAAGCATATAAAATTGCAGGGTGGCAAATGTTGTAGGGTCTCCTGACCAAACTCGGTGGCACTTTTCCTTACCAGGGGTTGATTTGGAGCCAGGTTTCTGCGTCAAGCTTCGTGCCCTGATAACTTCAACTTCTAACTGGCCCTTCTTATCCTCCATTCCAATCTGTATGTCACCTGCAGGTGGGGGCAAAGCAAATGGTCTCGGTTTCTTCCCAGTTATGAGCAGTTTCAAAAGAAAGGAGTCCCACAGCAAATTCCAAAGTACCTTCACCATCTTAGCACTCAGGAGCCCTTGACCCCACTTTAATTCCCCACTTTCCAAATCAAGTTCTGAAATGTTTCTCTTATTTTTTCTGGTCCATATGTATCTTAAGAAATTCACAAATTAGTTGAAAAAATTATTAACTACGAAACAAGTATTTTGTGATTCATACTCTACAAGATTCTTGCTCTTAGGTCACCTACTGTACTTACTTACTAAGGAAAAGCTGTAATTATTTGCATTCGCATTATCTATCCCCTCACAGGGAAACAGAAGGAAAATCCCTGCAGGGCAAGAGCCACTGGGAACACTGCATCATGACGTCACTAGGCCTCCATCCTCCCAAGGAACGGGGCCTTTGAGCAGATGTTTAGCTGTGGCAGCTGGAGGTTTGCTATCAGCTATCTACCAAACACGTTTTTGAGCCAAGGTCCCCATACTTTTCTTTCTCAATGCTTTTTTTGTTTGTTTGTTTTGGTACTGGGGATCAAACCCCGGTCCTTGACGGTCCTTGCGCTTGTAGGGCAGGCAGCAAAACCACTGAGCTAAATCCCCGGGCCCTCCCCATACTTTTCTTTTTAATGTTTTTTTTTTTTTTCTTGGTACCAGAGATCGAACTCAGGACCTTGCGCTTACGAGGCAGGCAGCGGCACCACTGAGCTAAATCCGTGGCCCTCAAATTTTTAATTATTTTTTTAAACTTCAGACTTGTGTGTGGTGAATATATATAACTGTTTCTTCTTTTTTCAATACCATTTGAGCCTTTTATGGTTGAAAATAACATATTTCATTCATTGTTATTAATTTTAGAAGTGAATTTATTTTTTGTTATTTTGTACTTTCATCTTAAATGCTTTCTTCTTGCTTCTTTTTCTCCTGTCTTCCACTGTACAGGTGGACTTTGATGTTTATTTTGACTTCTCCTTTGCCAGTATAGATTTTAAACATTTTATTTATAACTGAGAGGGTAGTTAGTATTTAACATGGGGATTCTCATTTTTATACTTTTTACCAAAATGTAAAGTTAGTGTATGCATTTACTCCTAAATAAAACAAGATCTTTATTTAACTAAGAACTTCTGAACTTCACAACTTTTCTATAGATTTCAACTAACATTTTTGCTTCAGCTTGTTTTATGTTGCTATTGTACTGATTTTTTAAAAAAATACACTCAAAATCCTGTTTTTTTTCTATTGGCTAACTCATAATAATTATTATTAGTTCCTTTTAGAAATGTACCAAGTTTCATTCATTTCTTTCATCATTGCTTTTTTAAATTCACTCTTTTAAGTTTACTCTTCTTGTAGAAGTGCATCCTTCCTTGTTGTGGTTTATACCTAGACGTCCTGAGAGCTTCAGGCACACACAGACAGGACTTTTGGAAGGAGGCTGAATTATGAGGCCTCACACTAGCGTGCTGTTTGCAGGGGGTTCTGGTCAGAAGAGGTGGGCCACTGGGGGTGTCCCAGAAGGGTTTAACTCCCTCCCAGTTCTTCCCTCTACTTTCTGGCCATCATGAGGTGAACAGCTTTTCCTCCGCTGTGTCCCTCTGCCACGCTGCCCTACCTTGGAGCCAGCTGGCTATGGACTGAAACCGCTACAAACTGTGAGCTGAAATAAATGTCTCCATTAAGTTGCTGATGTTGGATACTGTGCCTCAGAAATGAGAGACATGACTAAGACTTTTAATAACCTCGTCTTACTTTCTGTGAATGACACAGGAGGCTTAATCTTTGAAAATGCTAAATATAATTATTTATCAGTTGTTTTTAGTTATTTGAATCATCTTAATTTCTCAGATATGAATTCTCTTTGCCAGGTCAGTAGACTGACTTTTTGTGCTAGACTTTTTCATTAGTTTTATAATACTGTTTTAGATTTAAGCTCCTAGATGTCTGCTTTGACAGAATTTTGTGGTAACTCAAAGATTTACAACTAATTTGGTTTATTTTGCATAGTATCTCAAAGAAGAACTATGTATTAGAAATTAGGATAGTCATTTATAACCAGCAACACTAGCTAAAATATTGCTTCTATTGTGCTATTTCAAATGACCTTATCAACCAAGAAGCATCAGTTTTGCTGTAGAAAAATTATTTTTACCCATCGCAGGGGTGGCAAGGGTTTGGCGGCCAACAAGCTGAGCTGGTCCTAGTCCATCAAGAAAATCGCTGAATTGACTGTCAGCTCCCAGACGCACTCCAGGAAATATTAAGCTGTTAGCAAAAGGACAGAAAAAAAAATCATTAGGTCTGCTCAGCTGTTGTTGTTTTCCCTCTCTAGTCCTGAGGATGTAATCTAGCACCTGCTGCCTGCTAGGCAATGTAACTCTAATTCTTTCTGTTACTTTCCATTTGACTAACTCTGACCATCAAACATAAAACACTATTCAAACAATCTGTTTACTTATCGTTTGCTTGTCACGAGCCATATAAGGCTCCACACCAAGTAAGAAAATGTGTAAAATATCAATTTAAGACCTGACCTGATGCTCTTTTCAGAAGGGCTCAGTTATAGGATTTAATGCTAACTGTTCTAGATGCTTATAAAGCCAAATCCGTATCCCTCGGTAAATGTACTGCTAACATAAAATATAAGATTGAACTTTACACTGACAATTACACATGAATATTAGTTACATGAATGCTAAATTTTAAACGTGATTAATAATTTCTTGAATAAATATAGCATAAGTTATTTACAAATAAAACTTGTTTATTCATCCTTGAATGAATCTGAGGCTTTTATTTAGTCCAAAATAAAATTAATTGGTTAAAACATATCTATTTTTTACTACAATGGACAGAAAGCCCGAGTACATAAGCTGCACAAAAATGGTGAACACGCTCTTTCTGCTTATTGACGTAATTGTTTCTGAGTAACAAGGACCATGCTTGTTACAGTTGGCATTTGGTGAGTATTTTCAGGATGATCATATTCTTCAGAACTTTACTGTTTCTGTTGTGCTTTCATTATTTTCCCACAACCAAGGGAACTGGACAGCATACACATTATTATCCCATTAAGAGACTAAGAAAATAATTCTATGAGACAGTAAGTGGCTTATTCATGCTAGAGACAGTTTTTAGTTGATTTATGTTTTGTATCAGAAAATAACATTTCTATTCTTTCATTTGCACCTTGCATTATCACTTTATCACACTGAGCATTTTGTCAGAGAGTCCACTGCACTGTTTCCTGTGTGCTGATCTTTGTCCTTGTTATGCCTCTGTGGACACACATTCCAATCACTTGATCCAATACTGAGGGACCAACTAGTTTCAGGAATGGGGAAGAACATCAGAAACATTAACGTGACATAATTTTATTTTAGTTTTGAAACAATGTAGAAAAATCCCAGCAAGTGAGAAGAAATATTAAATATTAGATTGGGCTACAAGTGACTCAAATGTCAATATATGAATAACTATATTCAGTTTGTCCATGGCCAATGTCTATGTAGCCCATTGTAGCATAATTATTTGCCTGTAAGACACATTGCCTCAATAAAATTCAGTTTTACCAGGAAAATTCTTAAGCACAGAAAAATGCAGGTTTTGTGTAGGATCATATAAATGGTTAAAAAGTATATTAACAAATCAAAAAGTCTAATTTTTTTCATAATTAATTCAGAGATAAAACCCTTTAGTAAAAAAAAAGTGAGAAAGACCATGGGGTTTTTCCCCTCTTAAGCAAAACATGAGTTAGAGATGTTTTAAAGACAGGAAAATGATCAAAATATGTTATATGTCACAATGAAACTTGATATTTTATAAAATTATATGTTCTCAATATTAAATACATATATAGATACATAACAAAAATTTAAAAATCAGGAAAATGTAGGGTTTTTCTGCATGTTTGAGAATGTTTACAGCAACTTAGAGTCTAAAATCGTTTGGAGAAAAGTAGAAAATTTGAAAACAGTTCCAGACTTCTAAATTTTAACCCAGATTTCGGTGAGAGTGCCAGACTCCAGTGAGAGTGCCAGGCTCCAAGTTACTCCTGCGAGATACCCATCAAATGAGGCACTTTTGCACGAAGCACACCATGAAGGACCATTCTGAACTTGCTAGACGATGGGCATTGGTGCATTGATAGTAACACTGCCTCAAGCAGGTTTGAGTGGCAGGTGCAGAGGCCAGAATGGTGCCCTCCAGTGGCTCAGTGGCCTGCTCTGTGAAGGCCCAGCCACCCTCCTGCAGTTGGCCTGCTGCCACTCACTTGCCCTCTGAGCTGTAGCTGTTGACGCTGCCGTCCGTGGACTCCCTGCTGGGCTGCCTCACCATCTTCCTCATCTCGGCCGCCATACCAGTCTCCGTGCTCCTCTGGATGGTGCTCTTCAGCTTCTTGTGGCCTGACTCTGACAGAGAGAGCAAATCACCCCCCAGTGTTAGCCAGCCAGCTTTCTCCTGGACAGCAGTTAGTTCTGCAAATACAATAGTCAATCGTCACTATCATTAAAGTTAACCGGAAGTGTTGTCTGGGACAATCAGCTGCTTTATGAATCTCACCAGAGTGCACTTTGGTGAAGGGGCAAGTGGTAGAAAGGGCCCTGCAGTTACAGGGACACCCCAGATCTCAGTGAACCCAAACAAACGTGTTTTATTGCTGCTGATAACCTTTTGGAGGTTTTGGTCCCAAGCTGAACTATTATGTGTAAAAATAATACTCTACAACCTAAAAGGTTCTCCCTAAACTGGAATTCCCAAAATGTGTGGGAATACACCTAAAGGAGTGACTCATGTCCTTTGGAGAGAAGAGTTACTTCCAACTACAAAAAATAATAATCTGGATGCCAGCATGTATGAACAATCCTCATGAAGAGAAAAGAGAGTATTTTATCTGGATGATTTTCGCAACATTTTAACATACACCATCTTATCTGAGATGACATATAGGTAACCTAAATAAGTCGAAAAGGTGTACCCCAATTCCAAGGGAACACAGATATCTGATGGCCTTTTGATGACCGACTCCTGACTGGCCATTTTGGGGTGTGAGTCTCCATTTGCACCATCAATTATACTGACTGGTCATTTTCATTTCCATTCTTAAGAAACTTTAAGATCAGAGTAATTTCCTTGAGCTCCAGTGAAATGCATCAACCGGCATTCTACTCAGAGCACGGAAATGAAACTCTAACACTTATTTGATCAAACATATGAGCAGTACCAACAGATTAGAGAAATAGACTTTTCCCCCTACACATTTTATAAGCATTTCTGCTTTGTTTTTCACTTAATGCCCATTGATAATACATGAAGAATGCTCTATATAATAACTACATATATACACACATACACTTTGCATTCCACTCGAATCCTCTGTAAACCAGGTTCTTAGACATACAGTTAGATATGCTATATGAAAGACGTAAGTTTTTTCCTCTCAGTTTTGGTCCCTGCAATACTTTTGTAAATTGTCTAATCAAAAATATAACAGACTCATTGCTGATGCTGCTCATACATTCTTTTAATAGGTTTTTAAACTTTTATTGTTCTTCATTTTTTTTTTTTTTTTGGTGCCGGGATCTACCTCAGGTCTTTGTGCTTGCGCAGCAGGCAGTGAAACCACTGAGCTAACTCCTCGGCTATATTCTTCATCTTTTTATTGGTCTTTTTACTTTAAAAGTCTCTCAATAAAACATATTCAAATATTACAGAAAGAACAAATATTTAATATCTATAGTATTACCCCCCACAGAAGATGGTGGTGAGCAGTGTAGGTGCCATGCTGTATCACTCCACACATCTGTTCACTTTGCCTCTGTGAGCCACACTTCACTTTCCCCCTTCTCACTAGCTGCTTCTATCCAGTCTCTGGTGCGGGGACCTCCTCCCTGCCAGAATTTCTAGATACACCCTACATTTTCTTCCTAGGAGATCACAGCTAGGGCTTTAAGGCCTCCCAAAAAGCTTTCTCCTAAATGCCAGTTGTTAATCCAACTGCCTATTAGCTTCCAGTCGGGAGACCTGGCAGACATTTCAAGATTAACACATCCCAAGCAGAACTCCAATCCCTATGCCTATCCCCATGTATTGACAAATTCCTTCTCCCTCAGGAAAGGGTACCTCCACTCACTCCATTGTTCAGGCCTAAATCCTTGTAGTCTTCCTTGATTCCTCTTTCCAACATGTGCCACATCCAGTTCCTCACCTGGTCCTTCTGGCCTTACATCCAAAATGTACCACGAATCTGGCCACATTTACCCCTCTCCACTGCTAGTCCCATCTCAAGCCACTGTCAGCACTCAAAAAGACAATGCCAGTACCTACCAAATGGTTATTTTCTGCCTCAGAATATTCTCTACAAAGAGCCACAGTGATTCTCAAAAGACAGTCTGAATATATTACTTCCTTGCTCAAGTTCTTACAAACAGTTCATTATCAAATTTAAGAAAATCCCAAATTGTCAGTACAGTCCATAAAATGCCCTGTAATACAGCCCCTGGTGACTTCCCAGATTCCCCTTCTACCCGCCCTTCCATGTGGTCATCTCTCTCCGTCCACACTGTCGCCTCTGCGTGCCCATGAACACTCCATGCGAGCCCTTCTCGGGTCCTTTTTACTTACGGTCTATCCCTGCTAATCACCCCTTGCCCCCTCATCTTATTCAGATCTCTGCTCCAACATCCTCTCCTCAGACAGGCTTTTTCTGATGCTCATCACTTTCTGCCCTTGCTGGGTTTTATTACTCTTTATAACACAGCTTCCTCTGCCATTTGACCTTTATCTGCTTGTGGTGAGTTTTTCAAGTATAATTTCATTTCTTCACAAGTCGGTATATGGCATGTAGAACTGATTGTTAGTCCCAGTATCTAGAAGATAATGGGGACCACACCATACACTTGAACGGGCAATTTTCCCTTTCATAACAGACTGCAAACATATCTACACTTACTCTTTTTAATGATGGCACTGGTCTATTATACAGCTATGTGGTTTCAAAATTAAACCACCTCTTTATTGATGGCTTAGTTGGTTTAGTTGAATGTTTCAGGTTGCAACAGGAGAGTCTTTAGAGAATAAATTCCTAGTAGTTGAAATGCTAGTGCAAGGGTAGGAATCTGCTTAACCTTAATAAAGATTAGCAAACCACCACTCAGAAACAACGAAGCCATTTACACTCCCAACCACATTCATACAGATGCCCCAGTTTTCCCCATAGGAGCCTGGAATTTTCCTTCTCTCTCTCTGTTTTGGTCTCTGCCTTGCCCTCCTGGATTGTCATGGTCGAACATGCACACTTACTGAAGAAGACACTTTATTTATGACCATTCTAAATGTTCTTTAGTTTAGTTTGGGTATTTCACTTGTATACTGTGGAGGTAATTTAAGGAGTCCCTGTGGTAGAGGAATATTCCACCCATGCCCATATGTTGGCTAGATCCCACCTGAGGGATAGGGGCAAGCCCCAAGGGTATACAAGTTGAGCATTTCTAACCCAATAATTCAGAATCTGAACTGCTCCAAAACCCTCGACTTTTTGAGCGCTGACCTGACCCCATGTCATGGGGACAATCCAAATTCAGATACACTAAAAATACTACATAAAATTACTTTCAGGTTATGTGTACATAGTGTATAATGAAACATAAATGAACTTTGTGTTTAGATTTGGGCTCCATCTCTAAGATATCTCATTAGTACAGTGGACCCTTGCATTATGACTGGCCTGACATACGAACAATTTGGGTTTTGACTAGAATTATAGTGTTAAATTACAAAGTCTTGAGTTACTACTGAATACTGACCTTTGTGCTTCCAGATGGTCTCAGATATAGATATAAGCCTTAAAGCGTTCTGGGAGGAACATGACAACATCCTTTCCTGTGTGGGGTTAACTGAGAAATCCTGGGCCAGTGTCTCTCTAAGGACACTGATATCTGCCTGTGTACAGGAGAGACTTTGAAGGCTGTGTAGAGGACCCTGACCTTTCGTTGACCAGCTTGAGTTACAACCAGCCTTGCAAATGAATTGAGTTCATAAGTCAAAGGTCCACCGTATATGCAAATATTCCAAAATCTGAAACACATACAAAATCTGAAAACCTTCTGATCCCAACTCTTTCAAATGAGGAATACTTCACCTGTATTACCAAAGTACTGAGCCAAGCAGAATTATGACATGTGTTTTCAAAGGCAGTGTGAGGCAATACAGCCAGTGCTATCAACTCTTACTGAAAATAATGAGATATTAGGGGAACCTTTAAATATAAATCATGAAGTGATGCTAGAAACTGGAGAGAAATTGGCAGGATGAAGTTCAGGTCAGTGTCCATTCATTCGTTCAACCATTCAGTTTTCATTCATTCATCTTTGCTCTGATGCATCCATCAATAGTCATTTACAAAGCACCCCCATGGGTCATGTGCTATTCTCGACGATGCTGATACATTAACAAATGACAAACTCCCGCTATTGTGGAGCTTACATTCTATTGTATGTATGAGAATGGCAGTGAATAAACAAGCAATGGTAATAAGTGCTATGGAAAAATATCAGGCAGAATAAGAGGGAAAGAGGGTGGCAAGGATCCAGCAACAGCAGTTTTACTTTAAAGGGGACAGGATGTCACTCATCAGGAGGACAGAGGAGGAAAGGACACTACCCTGAGGGAGAAAAGCAGCAGAGACGGCAGGGCTGTGCAGGATCCTGGTGGGAGGAGGCCCAGGGGATGGTGGTGAGGCAGATGGTGTCCTGCAGTGGCAAGACATGTCCCCAGGCTTCCTCTCTCGTCTCTCCAGTGCTGATGCTGACTCTGGCCAGGAGACTGCCACTGGAGGCCGCAGGGCCTGTGGACAGCAGGCTGTGCCGATGATCCTGGAGCGTTGACTGTCAATGCCTGACTTCCCTGGCAATTCCCAACTGGGTTTTAAAGAGTTGTCATTTACTACGTATTTGTTCAGTGAATGAGAAGAAAAACTATAGAAGTGAATCATCTTTATTAATTTGTATTTTTTAGTGGAGATATCAAGATTTCTTAAGGAAGGGTACACCTACAGGATATCCAAAATTTTTAGTGTGGCTTCAAACCTTAATGATTCTCAAAGTGTAAATGTTACACACTCTGGATTTAAAAACAAAACAACAACAACAATAAAAAATGCCATTTGAGAGCTTAGTTTTTAAACACTTTTATATTTACCTAATTTTGTGAATCTCAACAATACCTTTTTAATTTTCAAGTTTTTGTTTTAGTTCTGGTGAGTAATGACAGATGGACTAATGCTTAGTTTTGGCTTTCATATTAATAAATATTCAGCAAAAAGCTTCACTGGATTAAGCAATATAAATGCTCAAGAAGAGACTAAACAGTCCTAGCTTCAAATCTGTCTTATTAAAATTAACAAGAGCTCTAA